TACATTTATTTTATAGTCGTCTGAGCATCTCATCCATGATTATCATCATCACTACCAACACTGTATATCAATGAAATGATTATATACCAAAAAATTAAACTAAACATAATTAATATATTACTTATTTTAATTGAGATCATTAAATGTAATTCAAAGAAAAATGTTTGTAATCAATGCTATATTTAATTATTGCTATTGGTTTACAAATTAATTATAAAAACTTATATTATTATTTGTATGTGAATACTATGTGACTACTCATATAATTATTTTCAATATTTACTTTGAGTCACATAAGTTAGTGTAGTAATAATATTTTAAACAAATTAGTTGCTTATATTATATATTATAACATTACACTATTTATTAACAATAGTGACAGATATTATAGTCGTATATTTCTAGTGAAAACACATAAACTATTTAACACATTATATAAATAATAGGATGCCTTTCATTGAATGGCATTAAAATGTTTACATGTAATCACTTTATTGCCAATGAAATGCAGTAAAAACACAGCGAGAGTTAACTCATTAATGGCATTGACTCTAAACCAAAAACAACAAATAATTAGTTGTATAAAACCATTCATATAATAGATATATAAATAGTGTATATTATTATTATTAGTAAAATAGGTTTGTATATAATACTAGTAACTGAATAATTATAATTTATAAATCATCAAAATTTTGTATCATTCAATAGATATGCCGTTTCATTTAATTAGTATATTTGGTCATCACTTCGCTGACACTCGCGCTTAAATATTTTGACAAAATATAAAATAAATTATTAATTTATGACAATTAATTGTTTTTATACTACAAATAAATTTATATTATAGTATATACAATATAGTAATTATTTTGCAAAACTCCAGAGCCCAGCGGTGCTTAACATAAAATACCGGTAATTCTCATTTAATATTAAACAAAATATATTTATTTTTTTGTGTATATTTTTTGACGCATTTTTCTACTCATCAACTATTGTATGAATTAGAAAATAAAGAAAAATAAAAACGAGAGTCCCTTTCATAGTCTTAGTTAAATTTAATCACAAATTCATAGACTTTTTTTTATTAACGTATGTTGTTTTTAATAACATTATAAGTCATGACATAATTGCATGAAAAATAAACTAATTTACTAAATTTTAATTTAATTTTCAATTGCGCTAAAAACATTGAAAAGATGTTATAGTTGACAAACTAATAGACTTGCGCTAAAACTTTATGGGTTTTATATTAATTTAGAAATTGAATGAATATTTAAATACTTCAATTAAATGGTTAAAAGTTTTTCAAAACGAAATTAATTAAATTTAGTTATGCTATCAGTCTTTATATTTATGTGTGTGTGTGTGTGTGTGTGTGTGTATGTGTGTGTTGTGTACATATCTATACCATAGCGTGTATTACATAATAAGGTTTTAGTATTTTGAGGTTTCCTCAGTTTGACGACTCTTTTTACTAGTGTTTTGATCGATTGCATAGAATATATCATACGATATATTATTCTAAATAAATACAATAACTGTAATAACAGTGCAATTCTGTGACATTACATTGTGAACCCTATGTTGTGTACATTATATACGACATCAAACATATTGTATATGTAATTCCCATATACTGTACATAGCGGTGGTATAACTATTATGTAGAGACAACACTGTAAAAGGTCATCAAAACTTTTATACCCTCACTCTGGAAGCCAGTTATCCGGAAAATTATTGCCAACAATAATCTCCATTTAATTTCTYTATTAATACATTAATTAAATGAATAGTAAAATAATTATTTTTACTTTTTTATTACATAAAACTCAAATAATAACTATATCTAAGATTCATGAAAATTAAATCTTAATATATAACTTTATTCTAATTATACCAAATCTTAGTTAGTGTTTAAAACTATTAGTAAAACATATTTTGTTTCCTTTATTTATTTATAATAATTATTGTCAATAATATAAAAATTAAACTTTAAAACAAAACCTTAATTATCTTTTAAAAATTAAATATTTTAGTAAATGATTTAAAATGATAAAAAAAATTTAATTCTATAAAATAAATGTTTAAATTGTCTTAGAGAKTACATTATATATTAATAGACAAATACTGTTTTTATCATTTTTATGAACTACTTCTTTATTTAACACTACTTTGTATAGTATTATGAAATATCTATACAGTATTATGTATGAGTAAATTAAAGATTTCTTTATAATAATTTAACAAAAAAAACTAATTGCACTTATTATTAATCTATAATTAGATATTTATCAATAGTTTTTCAATTTTGTTTAACTCTTGAAGTATTAGCATATTACTATTATAACTATTTAATTGCGTTTGTATTTAATAATAAAATAATTATTTAAATTAAAATATTATTATATTAATAATTAATCATTATTAATAAAGAGATTTTTAACATTCAACCATTTACTGTATATAAATACAGTATATTAATATAACATTTAACTGTATGCATGTGTGTATTGCAATATTGAATGTATTAAGTTATAATAAATATAATTAAATTCATATTTAAGATTAACATCAAGTTTACTAAATTGTATGACTGATTGTGATTTCAACCAAACAAACTTACTTTACAATTAAATAAATAAAAATTGTTTAATTTAATTATTAATTATTATTCTTTATATTATTTGTTTAGGAAATTACAAAAATATAGTCAAATTGAAAGTTTATTCACCAAACAAGCTGTTCATTAAACAGTCAATCGATTATTAAGTGTCCCGTTTTGTTAGCAAACAAACACATAGTTTTATATTGTATGTAAGTGTAGTAATTGAAACAATAACATCATAACTATATTTTAATGGAGTTGTGTTAATGAAAAAAAATATTGCATTTTCTTTGGGTTATTGATTGAAACAATCATTTGCTTTCATGTTTTCAATGACCACTCGTTTTAATCATAAGTCCAAAACACGAAATCAGTGTTTAATTTGTTTTGTTTGTCTCACCAATGCTTTGATTATGATGTCAACCACAAAGTTTATATAACATTATACAGTATAACATATTGTTTTATTATCATTACTGTAATTATTAATTTATTATTATTATTATTTTGTTGTTGTTGTTGTATTTATTGTTTAATAAATATCAATTGTTAGGAAATTGACAAATTTGTAATTAAAATAAATTGTCTTAATAAATAAATAATAATAAATAATTAGATATAATTTAATTTAAAACAAAAGTACACTTATTTTTCTAATTATTAGCAATTTTTTACAAATTCAGTACATTTATAAACCAATGTTAATATTACATTATATATTTATATTCTATAGTATCGAAATAAATTTTGTATATTTCATTTCACTTTTATAACAGTATTTTTAACATTAATATTTAATTTTTAAGTATTATTCTATAAAATATATTTAATAAATTTTATAAATCATAAAATTTTAATCATTTCACACATACAGTATATCCTTAAATATTTTACATTAAAAAGTTGATACTATACTTTGTTATATTGTATTTTTAGTAAATGTCTGTTTTAACGTATTGTTTTATAAGCAGAATATCTAAAATGATAAATATTAGTATCTATTGTTGTCATAAGTTTAGAAATAAATAAAAAGGGATTTTGTTGTCGAAATCCTATTTGATATTATATTTATTTTTTATAATAGCAAAAATGCCATAAAATGCTAAATTGACAGTAACTCCAATGTATATATATATATATATATATATATATATATATATATATAACTAAACATTAAATAATTTTAAAAAATAATTATTACAATTTTGTTAAGATTTTTTTAGAAATTAAAAAATGTGATTATTAATTATGTTCTTATTCTTAAGAAATACATTATTTTAAAATTAATAAAAAAAAACTAAATCAATAATTAATTTTGAATATTTAAATAAACATTTGTAATATATTTTTGTAATACTTGTTATAAAATATTTTTAATAAAACATAAACATAAAATTGTTAATATCGCTTATTTTTTAATTAAATAGATAACATGTACCAAAAATAATTAAATAACTTATTTTACAGTTGAAATATATATATATATATATATATATATATAATCATTATTGTAGACTAATATTGTAAATATAGATAAAATTGAATGCTTTTAACTAAATGTTCACAAAATTTTTTGCAGAATATTCTGTTATTTTGTGATCAGTATTCGCAAAATATTAAGAATATTATACATAAAAGTTTAGTCTAAAAAAACTTAATCTAAAATATTGTTTGCTTTAGAATTTAAAACGATGTGAATATAATAACAGTTATTGTAAATTGAGTTTAACTCATGTGTTCAATAAAAATCTCAAACTCTTTCTAAATAATAATAATAATATTATTATCAAAAAAATTGTGTCAAATGTCTACAAAAAATTGAGTGTTAATCGATTCACTAAACAAACAAATAGCTAATGCAATAAATATATGAATATTGAAATAACTAAATACTATTAATTTTATTGATTTTTAACAATAAATCATAAACTTTTTATGAGTTACCAATAAATAGTATTTACTTAATTTAGTATAATAGTATAATACAGTAATATATAAATGTTAAATTAAAAAAAAAATTASAAATATTTCAATAAAGATAATTGTAATTATTGACCATTAATTTGCTATTTATAAACAAATTACTCTTAAAGCTTATAAAATAAATAAATAAATAAAATTTCTGATTTTCATTACAGTGTAAGATATTTTCAATCATTATTATAAGTTATAAGTTATGAGCTAACAGTGCGACCAAATATAAGACTAACAATTGGTATGAATAGCGCCACTCATTGTCTAACATAACAGTTATGTTTGATATATAGTATGAAAAACAATGTAAACACTGATTGATTGAAACACTTTTCAAACTCAACGCCTAATCAATCAATCAATTAATTAATTCATAACTTATTGTTATATTTGTTATCAATTTGTTATCACTTAACAGCACTTAATATTAAGTAACCATTTATTTGTATAACTTGTGATACCATTGAGGAGATAATTGGAGAAATACAAGACATTAGATGTGAACAATGGCCACTTCGGATCAATGGTTTGATGATATTTTTGGTGATGACTTATAATCATTGTTTTATTGACATTATTATCAAAAGGCTTACCGATTATGATATCATTGATGAAAATGGCAACGAATTGATGCATAAAATTAGTCAAAGAAATCAGTTCCCGAAGAATTCAATTGCATTTTCGCGAGTAATTGATTGTGTGATTTGGCATTTTGGATGACAAATGATTTAACCATTGATTTGTTTATAGACTGACATTCAGGTCCAGCAAATGATGAAGAATTTTAGTCAACGATTATCACAATTACAGCAACAATTGATCCAAAACTCGAAATCTAATCAATTGTAAGTCAATGGAGTTGTTATTATGTCATAAAATATTGTTTTTTATTGACATTTGTATGACTGACCAGAACTACGGCCGAAATGGAGAGACGGCAACGACTGGTCGATAATTTGAACTATAGATACAAACAAATGGAGATATCGTTGGCCAACCCGGACGCTGACCGCAGGTGTCTATCGATTAGAAAATTTAAATATCATATGACTTATTGGCAACAATTTGATGACAATTGTTGTTCACATAAACGAAATGATTAGTAAATGATATTTATGTTTATATCAATTGGTTTTATTTGTCTTCACAGAAGTGCTCTTTTGGGAAATCAAAGTCAATCAATATACGGAACAAATGGCAATCAAGACATCGAAAGGGGCGAAACTACTGCCGACCGAAACCTAACGTCACAGCAATATCAACAACAACGACAACTCTTGATGAGAGGCAATACAATAATAATATATACAATCGATTCATTGATTATTAATACTATATTTTGTTTTACTATACCTTTACTTATATATTCATCAAAAAGAAAACATTGTTTTCAATTTGTTTTATTGTTTCTTTAATTTATATCATTAGACGTCTTAAAGAAAACATTTTGTTTGCTTTCATTTGAAATGAGACTTTAATTATTGTTTTTACAGAACAAGACAAAGGTTTGGAGTCGTTATCAGAAATAATTGAACGACAAAAACATTTGGCTCAAGGAATCAGCTCTGAAATCGACATACAAAATGGTTCGTCGGATTGATATTTTTATATTACATTTACGGCATCTTTAGTATTGTGTTTATTATTTATTTATAAATACCATTTATTATCTGTAAAATTAATTATAGATAATTGATTTATTTTTATAGAAATAATTGATGACATCGGAGATGCAATGGATCAGACAAACGATCGACTTTTAAGAAATACTAGAAATATAAGAAAAGTTGGTCTAAAATCGGGAACTTGTTGTGAGTTTGCAATTTATAAACTAAATTATAGCTAAAATCTAATTATGTTTATTTACATTTATCTCATAGGTTATTGGGTAATCATTACACTATTATTTGTAGCAATTATCACCGTTTCATTTATTTAGACATAAAGTATTCATGTTTTAGATTATATTTTCATACATTAAACCAAATGGTTTATACAAAATTTGTATTATATTTTAATATATTAATTATGATTACAATTTTATATTGTATATTCAGATGATTTTAGAATAACTAAAAAAAATGTGATAATAAATAAAATTGTTAATTTATTTTCTAATTATTTATTTTTTTATTTTATGTCGAATTCCAGCAATTTATTGATTACTTTATTTGCAGTAATATTTGATGTTAATTGAACATTAAATGAGATTTTATAATTGTTTTTTATCAAACAATCATACAAAATGTTTATTTGTATTATTAATAAATTCATTGTTATCATTATTATTATCTGTAAATTAAAATTTATATATAAGAATTGTGTGTTTATATAAATTATATGAGATATTAATAAGTTTATTATTATATTAACAAAAAATTACAATTGTTTCCAATTTTAATATTTTATACTATATTATAATATAATTAAATACTATATTTTATACGTTTTGTTGTTTAGGAAATTATTTTACTAAAGTCTTCATTAATTTTTATTAATTTAAAAATCAATGTCTTGAAAGAGTACCGTATATTATATGTTCAATAAGTATATATTGATGACTGTATGTAATACTAAATTTCATTTGATTTGTCTGCAAAAGCACATCCTTATAGCTATAATAATGAGATTCTCTGTTTGTTTCATATGATTATATTAATACTGATTAGGCGTTGTGTCAAAGTCTAGCCATAGATTCACTCATAATATACTGTTTGTGTAGTAATGTAACGACAAAGTAGATAAAGAAGAGAGAGAGAAAAAAAGGCAGGGATGAGAGTAAGAGAGAGAGAGAGAGAGAGAGAGAGAGAGGTGTAGACATTGAGAGAAATGGATGTTTGCTATAATGAAAATTGGAATCAATAACTCGTGGAAAGGCATCCAAATATACCTGAATTTAATGAAACACATGACTCCCTTTAGTTGAGAAATGGCAGAGTCGACTGTCGAGTGCCCCTCTAATCAATAATTTATGTTATGATCGAGTGATTAGCTGCTCCGGGAGGGCCCGGATATGTTGGATATGTTAACGCAATTTGCGCTAAGTTTTCTCAACTGAGGGATGAAATTCCTGATAAAACCCTTAATGTTTCTGAAAGGCGTTTAAAGCTAACACCAGAAAGTATTTCCCAATTGTACGACAATTTTATATTTATAATAACATATGAAAAAAATTGAATAAATCTTGTTTTTTAAATATTTCATTGTTAAGGCACTTCATATTTTGTAATATTACTTAAGTATATAATGCGTGAATCAATTTTTTTTATTGATAACAACATTGCTTTTCATGAATATACAGCTATTTATAAAATGATTATTTTTCATTTTACACCATTTGTCAGAAAATTTTTAATTCACAAATAAAACGAAAGATTTTATGACTATATTTACAGAGGAATTATGATTGTGTTTGCATTTTTAAAAACTGAATTCAATTTTCAATATATTACACGAATTTTTTTTTCATAATTATGTATATATTTACAAAATACTATATATAATCCATTATTGAGAACAAATTATTAGAGATACAGATGTTTTGCATAGAAAATAACAGAATTGCCGCCAAAGTGTAGGTAAGGCCACAGATTTTGTCTGAAGAAAACAAATGCAAATAATTATTATACTATAAGTGATTGTTAAGAGTAAACAATAAATGTTTAACTAATAAATATTGATTACCAATGTATGCATTACTATGAACACCAACATTGCTCTGGGCTTCCATGAGCTCCTGGTTCATGGTTCTGATGACCACATCATCTGAGTAGTGGGCAATTGTACGACTGTGTTGAGCCACACACGACAGCTTTAGCTCTTGTAGCTGAAAGTGTTGGACTTCCATCATAAATGTCAAACCCAATACTGATTTACCCGATTTGTCGCTATTATATCGTATCGTTTGACTTGAATTGACCTACAATTTGATTATAAGTTTGATTTTTTAATAATATTTTTTTTAGAAAACGTCTAATTCATGTTATTATTCATATAGTTTATAATACAGTATAACTAATGTTTATTATTACTTAATTAAATAATTATTTAATAAATATAGTATACTTGTTGGTCATTAATAAGCCATTTAAGTTGAGCTCCCTGTGCAACACTTGAACAATTGACGGCCAACACATCGTTGACATTATATTTTTGTTGAACGCCTAAAATTATTGGCGTATCTTTATTATCCGATTGTAATGACCAGTCTATCACAAAAAAATCAACAATAATTATTTTATAATTAAATCAATATTATTATATATATCTTATTTATATAATAGTTTTATATATAAAAAATTTATTACCTCTATGCATAGCTTAAATTTTATTGAAAGCAGTTTTGATACTAATATCATTACAAATGTGTTAAATAACATAAAAATTTAGAAAATAAATTAAATTGAAAAATTTGAATTTTTATAGCATATCATATATGTTTATAGTATATAAAATACAGTTTAATAGTTAAGGCTATGAAAGTACTATATATATAAACAGTATATTAATAGTATCTTAAATTTAATTTATCATTTACACAATAGATATTAAATTATTTGCTAACATTAAAATTAACATATTTAACATAACAAATATTGATTTTTAGTTACTTTTAAATCTTGTAGTTTATAAAATATATGTTAATTTAATTTTCATTTAAATATACCATGTAAGTATATAATTTTAATACATATTTAACAACTATAAAAATTTATATGTGATGTAGTTATAAAATCAAAATAACAACCACTAAAATAACTAATTATATTGACTAATATAATATTTTCAATAAAAATACATAAAATAAATAGTAGTAGACTTATAAACATTTATTTTTTACATTTTCAAAATGAAAAATTAATTTATGTATTGTAGATAATTTAATTAAAAAGTTGAACATAAGTTATAAATTAATAGAAAAATTAATAATTAAATTAAGAGTTAAATTTAATTAAACATTTAGCAGACCTTTATTGGCAAATTGGTTGGACAGATATGTTTTATTTCTAGCGGTGCCTCCGCTAACCACATATTCAATGGCTTCAAAATCATAGAGAAGTGTTAGTGTTGCGGTACACCTCAACCTAAGGACTCCCCGATGAAAATARTTAGGAGTGGCCCGAAAGGTCAGACCTAATTGACTGCTTTGTAAGCCATCAACGCTTGTTTTGGTTTTATATGAGATTAACTGATCACTCGATGCCTATAAGTTAGCGAAAAACAATGAGAATAGCAATCATAATGTTAGCACACATTTGTCAACACAATTGACTTCAAATGATATTTGTTTTATTAATGAACACAAACTAAGTGCAAGATTGTATCAAATGGTTAAAAGTGTAACAAAAAACTAAGTTTTCAACTATTGTTTTGTCTAACTTTAAGTGCAAATGTGAGTCTTAGTGTATGTCTCGGGAGATGTGCCGCTAAAAAGTCTATTTTAAAAACTTAGAGTATTATAAAAAAGCAACAAAAATACTGTCAAAAGGATAAACTACTTGAAAATGGCATTTGATTTACAATAAAATAGTAAACTTTGTGTGTTTGCAATGCATCCTATGTTTAGTGCATTTGTCGCAGTACTGGATGTTTAGGATTAATGGCTTTTGATAAATGGTTTTGAAGTGCGTTTTGTCTGACAAGTCTCACCGTATTATCATTGATAAGCCATTGCAGATGAGGAAGAGGTCTACCAGAGCCCGACTTACAGCTCATATTAATCTTGTCGTTAACGTCGTACTCAACTTCTTTGCCAACAATCCGCAGACTTTCGACGGGCAGTGCTTTTGGTATAAAAATAAAACAAAAATATATCAAATATTATAACTTTAATACTCAACACTGCAATTGGCTTTTGTTTGGCTACTATTTCTCCACAAATAAATAGTTAGCTATTTGTGTCATTTATGGTCACTAAAGTATTAGTCATTGTGTTGTTTACAGGCACTACAATATATACAGAATATATATATATATACCCATAAAGTAGATATACAGTATATATACAAATATGTTGCAAACAATGTCTTTACATCAAATATCCAAACAATATGTTCATTAAATTAGTTGTAATTGTGATAAAGCTGTGGTAATTTCAGTGCAAACAATAACTTAACTGTTTTATAGTGGGAATGGGTTGGATTGAGACGACTATTAAATAAAATGAATGCATAATAGGATGAGCGCTAATGTAATAAAAACAGTGAAATTTGGTTGTAATCAACACATAGAGTGTGTAAATAGTGTTAAAAGTGGGTTAAAATTTCATTCAAAAATCATATAAAGTGACCATTAATTTCAATAAAGCACTGAAATTGATGAATCAATATCTTAAATGATTACTTTATGGTATTTATTCACTCATATATCGTAGATATATATTGTATATATTGTGTATATATCGTGTGTACACTTAGACGGGCCGTTGGGTATTGAGTGAGACGACAGAGAGTGATGAGTGAAAGGCATCTCAAAAACGAAATATTTTTCCTCATTTCCCAATAGACATAAAGGTATGGCCTTTTCCTATATGTATATATATGTGTGTATATGTGTGTGTGTTTTGACATAAACATCAACACTGAGTGCCTGATATTCTTTATAATGAATTATTTATAGCTCTTGAACACACAGTTCTCTATTACAATTTAGATGCCGGAGCCGTATAAACGCTAATATAATGGTCAATGACATTGCCCTCCAATACAGCAATTGCTGATCAATCGACAACTCAAACCAATTCACATTCTTTAACGACTCAAATCTTTATATAAACACTACCAACAGCTCTCTCTCTCTCTCTCTCTCTCTCTCTCTCTCTCTCTCTCTCTCTCTCAACACAAGATTCATAGTATTGTTTCATAACAACAATGAATTTCAAATAACACTTCAATTTAAGAGTCAATAGGAGGAAACACCGATTTGGAAAAGACATCAATTTATACCTCTCTCTCTCTCTCTCTCTCTCTCTCTCTCTCACACACACACACACACACACACACACACACACACACACACACTTGTAATCTATCACTATTTGTTTTTATTTTAATGGTAAATACAATACATTTATATAACAAAATACAGTAAATAAATAGTAATATATACCATATTGTATATGACTTACCGTAAACTTTCATTAGTCTCTCACTTCTAATGGTCGCGAAGGACGGACCTAACAATCGGTGCAACGAAAAGACAAACTTTAATATTGTTATTATAATTTGTGTTTTTATAAAAACAATTTTATAAAACTTTTAAATGTTATTAAATTCTGTTCCGTTTTAATAAATATTTTTTTTAAATGTTATAAATATTACAGAAATAAATTATTATATTTCTGGTTTAGACATACAAATAATCATTAAAAAATATAACTTAAAGTTAATAAAACAATATAATAGAAAAAAGGAAAGAACCAATACATAATATTAATATATATCAGTGTTAAGTAAGCGGGTAGGGGGTAAGGCCAAATAACCCCCCTAAGATCGAGATTTTTGGATTTGACCCCCCAGACTTTTGACAAAATTGAAAACAATTCGCTTAAAAACGAGGAGAAGTGACCCCACCCTAAAATTTCATTATTTTAATTTAAATATATAACTAAAAAAATAAATAAACTATTTGCTGAAAAGATAGTAATCATATTATAATTTAAATAAAATTTTAATTAAAAATTAGAAAATATTTTCAATTTTATAATTACTTGAATTAAAATTTTAACTAAAATAAAATAATTAGTATTCAGTCAATATTTATATAAAAATATGTACCTATAAACTTAAACATTAACTATTATTTAAAAATTTAATTATATTATAAGTTAATTATTASATTATTTAAAAAATAACTCAGTGTATTATTAATGTTTACAGAATTATATTTTTTAATTTTAGTTAAAATTTAAGTTTATTAACTAAAAAGATATTTAAAAAATAATGTAATTTATTAGGAATATTTACCTATTTTTCTGGTAATATTTTAATAATTTATGGAATTTTTTATGGAATTTTGTCTTAACACCACTTGAGTTAGAATTTTTGAAAATATCACAGTTTAAAATTGTAATAAAAGGCTATACCCCACCCTATACCTCCCCCAAGATTTTTAGATATTTTATTAATTTGACCCCCACCCCCTAAAATCCAAAACCTTGCTCAACCCTGATATACATTATATTACATGAATGAATTAAAAATCAAAAATGAATAAATATTATTAACAAACGTTAAGTCCATTATAATAAAAGCCATTAAATTGAATGTTAATAATGTCCGACACTATTAGCTATACGTTTGAAAATATAATAATACAGTTGTGATATCGATAATCATTAGTATAAAAACTTTAACATAATGTATCATTAAATGCTTTTTGGATTTGCAAATAAAATGACTAAAAAACCAAAAAGATAATGATAAAAATAATATGCCAATAATTTGTGGTGAGTGTGTACTATATAAATATGTTGTTGAAAAGTATTTAATATATTATGTCAATTAATTTATTTGTGTGGAGTTTACTTAACATCAATTAGATTATAACAGTGATAATATTGGAATCAAAAGTCATTAATCATTATATTTGATTAGAAATTTTAGGTTTTTATCAAAAAATTCATTTCCTATATATTTTTTCTGCGATCAAAATCTAAGTCAACCTCAAAGTCAAGATTTATGTCTTTACTTAAATCAAACCACAAAAAACATTAAAGGATTTTCTYTGTAATTTTTTTTAAATAAAATCTTTTTAAACTAAMATTTTTTATAATATTTGTTTTGTTATTTATAAAATATTTATAGTTATTATATACAAAAAAAACATATTATAGTATATTATTAATTAATTTGGTAATTGTTTTGAGACATACCTTCAGTGCTTACTTCGCAGGCGTACATTCCGTCAGAGTTCTGGTTATTAATTATATTTTAATAAACACTTTATTATCAAATATTTACTTATCATATATCATATATCATAAACATTGTTATTAATTAATATAAAATTAGTTGCAAATTGTTGTGAATATAACAAAAATATTAAGTAAATTGAAAACTACTCACCAAATCAGTATACGATAGAAAAGCATGGGTTGCATTGGATCGAGTAATCTGACAATTTGTAAGACAATATTATAAATTATTATTTGTTTTTTATCATAAWTTTTTTTTAGATTATGTGATTAAAAAAGGTGAACATTTATTATAACTGTCATTAAATAAAATTTATATAGACTTATTTTTATAGTTAGATTAATAACATCTACATAATATCTAATTTATTTAAAATATACAATAATATCACTTAATCAACAGTGACATCAATTAAATTTTATATTAACATTAACAGATATATAGTGAGATTATATCACATTTATTATTATTTGTACTGTTAGATCAATCATTAATTGACAGATAATGTTAGCAATTATTTTACATTCAAGTCTCTGAACTTTTATTTTTTATATTATATTTTATACACAAAAACTTTTTCTATATTATTAATTTCACGTTTGTTTAATAAAATATTTACTTATAAATAAATTGAAAAACAGTTTCATATAACATTTTGTTCAAAATACTATACTATCATATATCTAAATATCAATCAAATTTTTTAATTTAATATATTATATTTTATATGATTGTCGAGTAAAACTAATAGTTATACAAATGAAAAAACGATAAAAATTGGAGAAAAGTAATATATTATAGTATGTATTATATATCTTATTTTTATACATCTAATAAAATATAGTAAATTATTTTATAAGTAAACACATTTTTTCAAAATTTTATATAAATAAATAAAGGCAATATATAAATTGTGATATTACTGTATAATAAACTACATATTTCTTTATTAAAGAATCCAATTTGAGATAAATATATATATAAATTGTGTATTTATTTTGTTGGAAAAGAGAGATATATATGTTTAGGTAAAGAAATCCTCCCAAACATGAGATACAAAGTAAAAGTACAAAGGATTGAGTGTTTGATGTAAAATATCGTGCAATGAGTCTCTTTGCACACAATATTTTTGATGGTATAGTCAGATATAAGGCTAATCTGACTTTTATTTCCTATATTTTTCCCATTTTTCTTTTCTCTCTCCTTTTCCCTATCAACTCCACCCAACCCTACATTCAAGAGATGATACACTCATTATAATCAGTATATATCATATTGTTGTAGACATGCCTTTCTTTTATGCCTAAGATATGTGCCCCCAATCTATTGACTACTACTATGTACTCCTTTTTTATATATAAATTTATTTTTTAATAAATACAGTCTAATAAAATATAACGCAGTAATTATTAATTTGGATATTTATTATAAAATTTATGTCATACTATAAGCTTAACTAATATTCAAATTATAATATAAAAACTAAATAAATATTTAAGAAAGTAAGAGTTATTGTGAGGACATATATTTTATATATGTTTTTATAGATAAAACAAATTTAATGCATTTAAATTTTGATTAATAATACTGAAACATGGATCTGTTATCTAAAAACAACAAAAACTAAATAAAATCAAAACTCATACACTCCTCCTTTTAAGTAATGTGTTTGTTTAGGATAAGCTTAGAATTAAGTAAAAATGAATTTACTTTAAGTAAAAAAAAATTTTTTGAAAGACAATAATTGAAATATTTTATAATTGAGATAAAATTGAGACTCACGTCAACATAAGCGCCGTTGAGCTTAAACTTCTGTCCGGGTCGGGGGTCGTCGGTCGGCAAATAACGATAAAACTCAACGTAATCTTTATAGTACTTAACAGAATACAGTTCATCCCCTTCCAGATCATAGTTACAAAAAAGTATAACCGACTGTCCCTTTGCAACGGCCAACGGAACTTCTAAATTAATTATTCTTAAGGACTGACAATCTGTAAAACAATTTTATAAATTACAATTTATTTATTAAACATTTATTATAAATAGTTAATAATAATTACAATTTCAATAAATAATAATTATAATTAATATAAAAATGGTATGCATATTTTATTGTATTCTACAATTTATTGTTTTTATCAATAATATACTAATAAAAGCTAAAAATATATAAATTATTATTATTATTATTATTATTATTATTATGGCACGTGAATCGTTGTATTGTACTATCAAATTAAAGTATAGTAACACTAGAGAGTTGAATCACCAAATGTTTAGTCAAACTTTATTATGCTTTTTCAGTACTCTATCACTACATTAATAATATAATGCTCTGTTGATTAGGAATCACAATATAATCTATTTATATATTTTATATGCAATTTCATATAATAATAATATTTTCAAATTCCATTCAAAATGTATAACTGTCCCCACATTAAACATACGACAAAATACTGTATAATTTAACCAAAAAAAATAGCATAAAMTATATATCATCGACAATCTCCACCTTTAACAATGTATTAATAAGGGGTCACCAAAATATTGTTTTGTATATATTTTAAAAAATAATTGCTACATTGAAAATATATTAGTTAATAAAGTATTAAARCACTTTTCATTATTTAATAAGTTATCTTAAAGATTATTATTATTATTATATTGAATTATCTATGTTTACTATAATTTCTTTATTAAACATAAAAACAAATTTAATGTATCTGTATTTGTAAATTTGATTTATCATTGAGACCCTACTTGGCAATTGTCCAATTTAATCAGTCACTATAGATGTGCGTGTGTTTGTTAATGCAATAGCACACGGCTTATATCAAAACCAACCGGTGCTCAACAACATTCAAGCGGTGAATAGTTTTATTTATCCTCAAAACTCTTGTGTCATTTAAATAAGTACTATATATATRCTGTATATATACAATATATATACACAGTATATGGCTTTCAAAAAWAAGTCATAAATATTTGAAATATTTAAATTATCTTATTTATAGTGTTTTATCTCAATGAACTTGATTTTGATTTATAAATATTTAAATATAACTATACCTTTTTGATATTTGTGTTGTTAGAAATGTTAAATTTTATTAATGCATATACTTTATTCATGTACTGTATATACAAATATATTAATTTTAAATATTTACATTTAAAACAGTTGGCTACAAAAAACAGACCTCAACTTCTATTATATATATATTATTTAAGAAATTTATTTATATGTAATAAAAATAAATTTTCTCATTTAATTCAACATTAATAAAAAAAWTTAATTAAAATTTTTGACTTTAATTTTATAAAAATAAAATAATATATTATCTTAACGCTGTAAATGCTGTAATAAAATATAAGTTTTCTGGTTTAAGAGAGTATTACAATGTTAGACATAATTATATAAAGAATTTTGATTATGTTTCCATAAATTAATTAATTAAATCATATGAGACATAATCGCAAACAAAATCAGTCATATATTAATGTCATTGTTATTAACTTTAATAATCGATATAAATAACAACTTAAACAATAATATTAAATATTATCAAAATAATGTAAAAATTAGTTTTTTTATTTTGATATTATTTATGATATTTAGCAAAAATGTAAATAAAAATTATTTTATATAACTCATTTTAAATCAATATTAATTTTATGTTTATTTTTTAGTTATAAATGTTATAATAAATATTATAGTATTAATGTTATTAAGTTTAATCTCCAAAATAAAGTGATTATAAAACTTGAAAATAAAAGTAAATGGTTAGCACTTTAGGTAAGAGTGATATATCAGTCTAATGGATGTTTTTTTATTGTTTATCTATACTTTCATTGTTTAAATATTATTATTATAGAGACGCGTCTCAAATCCGGACTATGTTTTTATATATTAAATCTAAATGTAATGCAAGTGAATGGGTGTTACTATATTCGGATTATACTATAGTTAAGCTGAATATTACTATGAAGTTGTGGCTTATAATAATTATATATTCAAACATTGAGACATTACGTAAAGATATCATATATAACACAATCAAGTTTTAAGTTTCTCAAAAATTGCATATATAATAGTATAGTGAATAAATAAAATGTAATCAATCATCTTATTATGTCATATATATTATCACAAATGGCAAATTTGCTTTCATAGACTATAAAACTAACAATACACTATCAGTGAATCACTTTTTAAACAATCCTATATTAAAATAATAATAATATTATTATTATATAAATATTAAATAATTAAATTTGAATTATAATATTAATTTAATTAAAAGTTTAATTTTATAAAACTATATTTATAATTATATACAACATTTATAACATATAATGTAATGTATCTTTAAGCTAAATAATAGATTATAAAACTTTAATATAGTATAGTATACTGCCATAAAATTAAATGATAAAAAATATTTTACATCACTTATGATAACTTTATTACAAAAGATATATTCAGATAATTTAAATAAATAATGTGACAACAAATGACTTAAAAATAAATAAAATCAGAATATATTAAAGCATTTATTTAGTGTAATAAATGATTGTCACACAAGAATTTTATCTGTATTTTAAGGCATTTGTTTAAATCCTTTTAGACGACTATTCATATAAATAATATGTTTTCCCTTTTGAGTATGACTTTTGTTTTTTTATTCATTGTGTGTTCAAATAAATCAATCTTTAAATTTGTTTACAACATAAACAATACTAAACGATTTGGTGCCACAAAAAATAAAATAAAAATGAAAACATCAACTCTTTAGTTTGACTGAGTCTTACACACAAAAAAAACATTTAATGTTATGTAAAAAAGTAAAGTTATTGTAAAAAGCAGGAAATCTAAGAATATTATATTAAATATTTCAAAGTTTTATACTTATATAAAAATAAATTTTATTAATATCAATATATAGTATATATTAATACTATACTATACTATACCGTAAAGTGTATATACAATAATACAATTTTTTCGGTGTATTATAGATTTATAAAAAAATAGTCTATTGGTTATAACACCGGTGTATTGCAGTGTATTAGTCTATAAGTTATGGGGAAAACTTTAAAAATGACTATAACTGGTAAAACCATTTATTTTAGTTGCATTTAGTAAAGCACTGGCAGGTGAATGGTATGAATAAGGTTACCAACTCATACAATATATACTATATATAAAATCAAGTATCTTTGAAATAAAAAATATCAAACAATTATTAAGAAAAAATTAATTTTTATGGTAATATAATATATTTTATAATCAATTCATTTATAATCAAAATTATTATCAATCAATTGTTTTATAATCAAAATTTATCAAATGTCAGTGTTTTTTGTGTACAGTTTGTGTTTTGTTATAAGTATTATAATTTTTTATTCTTCAATAATATTAAAATAATTTTATATTTAAATTTATTTTTAAAAATTAATTATTGTCTTTAATTTTTTTATGTATGACCAGTAATCTAAAAAACAAATAAAGTATAATCCTTGAAAATCAATAGTAGTTGGCAATCTTAGAAATGAATGATATGAACACAAAAATATTATAGAGAAAAAAAACAGTGAAAACACATTTATGTAATTTGGACTCATATTTGGATAAATTACTAGTTTTGCTGCAAATGAAACAAAGTGTTAAAAATGTTTTTATATAATTTTTTGTTATAAATTTTAAAAAAAACTATACATTGATRAGATTATATCAATATTTGTTTCAAATAAAACTACTTTTTTATATCAAGTATAAWACAGACTATTTWATRWCAACATATAATTCCTAATTTCAATTGTCTTTAATTTAGTGGTTTATATGTTTGGTTGTGACACACGCCCAACACATTGCCACTTATTAAAGGACWCTTTAAATTTGGTTTATGGGTTACTATAAAGTTTAGACAATTTTTAGCTAAAATATATTAGTAGTGGCTTTGCTGGCAGTGATACTAATAGTAATACATATGGAGTAAACCATTTGGGTCACAACTAAACTTATATATAACAATACTGTATATTGTAGTAGTAATAGCCCAGTCATCTCTTTCTGTACTTTATATTACAAATGGTAATGGCTTTAGTGCACACAAACAATGAGTTTTTTTACAAAAGGGAAAGGTATGTTTTAGTGATAGATCCAATACTACATATGATCATCAACTTAAACAAGTAAAATATAAAGACAATAATATGAAAACAGAAAAACGCAACAAATAATAACTACAATAAATATGTGTTGTACTCATCATATAACCATAAATCAAAACAACATTTTATTACTATTATTAACTAAGATAGAGAGAGAGAGAGAGAGAGAGAGAGAGAGAGAGAGAGAGAGAGAGAGAGAGAGTTTATAAAATTGCTAGATTTCCTTAACAATAATATTACTGTAATTTTTATATATAATAGTTTTTTGCTTTCTTAAAAAATATTTTTTACCACTTATTAAATTAAATTTGTAATAAAGTAATCATCATAAAATTGATGATTTAATTCAAAACAATTAATTTGTTTTTATAATAATTATTATATTAAACAGTATTATTTTTGATATTTATTTTTCTCGTGGATATATATATATAATATAATGATATATATATTGATATATAATTAAAAAAAAATACTTAAATAAATTTGAATATATTTTTAAGCAGAAACTAATTTGTTGGTAAATTTAATTTAAATAAATTGTTTGTTTTTATAAAAATATATGAGAGTTTTATAAAAGTGATTMAAAAAGATTATTGAATTTTGTTTGAATTAAATACAATTCAACAAATAGTTTACAATTATCATAGATATGGGTTAATAATATAGTAATGTGTTTAAAAAACAACGAAAAGTTGAAATAATTAGTGATTTTAGTAATAGAGAGAAAATTTGAACGGAATATAAAACATTCATTTACTTAACGTATTGAACGCAATGACTGCAAAATGCAAATTATATGTCGTGTTGTACTACA